GGAGTGATTCCTACTTATTTGGCCTTTGGTTGGAGAAACAAAAACATTTTGCCCATTCATTTTTGTACATCTATCCCATAACATGGCAGCTTGTTAATGATATTTGTTGCTAATGACACAGTAGTGGGAAAGGTCTATAGTAATAATTAAAATGTTATTATTATTATTATTATTATTATCAATTGTTATTATATTTCATCTTGTTTTTGTTTGTTTCTATTCTTTGCTTTTGGTTTTTGGTCTTTGTGATTATAATTGTCAAACAGTAGATCTTTTTTGTTTTAGAAATCAAGGTCTCCTGTTCTATTACTTTATTTCCCTTACTTTTTATCTCAATAATCCTTCTTGCTAATTAATTAACATTCATTAATTAATTATTATAAAATTAATTAATTTTATTTGATAAAATAGGGAACTTCCCATAAATACTTCCCAACCAACGAAGCAAGCAAAAGAAGACGAAAAGAAGAGGGGATAGAACAAGATGTCTTCCTCGTCTCCCGATGTAGCCAAGACACTTGTTACTATGGATCGCCAGCTCTCTGTGAAAGATAAAGACTCTCTCGTCTATCTGGCTGAAATACTAACAAATGGAGCAAGCAGAGATAAATCCTTACTCACCCTCTTGGGTGATAAGTTTGTGAAGGAGGAGCGTCCTGATATTTTGAGGAATTTACTAGAGCTAGCCGGATTAAACAAACACGCTGATTCCCTCCGTCATCTAAACCATACTAGACCACCTAAACTACTTGAGGAATGTCAGTATGTCACTAAAGAGAACTGCAAGCTTGTTGGAATGAGATCGTGTTTAATAAAACTGGTTTCTGCTCTGTCTACGGACCAGTTGCGTACCCTTTTGGAAATTCTCTGTCACAACAGTGATAGTAATCCTGAAAACTATGCCTGTATCTACATCCTCTTCAGAGAGCTGGAGCAAAAAGCAATCATATCTCCTGGAAGACTCGAGTTTATTTACGAGATATTAGAAAATGATTCCCAGTTTGCCAGCGTTAGACGCATCCTAGGTAAGATAGAGTCTACACTATGTTTATTACATTATTACATTATAAATTAGTTGAATACCAGGATCAATTTTACAATGATGACGAACAAAGATGCTCCTCTACTGGAAACAGTTAGCTCCTCTATATAGAACTCATACACATGTGCACACTCTTTCTATTTTTTTATTCTAAACAGATCCAGTACATGTAGGTAGGTCTTGTCCTCCAAGTAATCAAGTACCAAATCAACCACTATATCCAGCAGGTTAGCTTGTACTGTCATGTTGTGAACTTGTCATGTACATGTACATTGCTTGATCTATATAATCAATACGGCGTCTATAATGTTGAGTTATTGTATAAGAATATGCTGATCCACTTAGTTTCAATGACATCATATTAAATGATTTGGCACAATTCTGAAAACCACATACTATCAGTACAAACACTTCTATATGTCATCAATCCAGAGGGGAATTTTTGTTTTCTCTTTATACTATTTTTCATACTCATTGTGAATGAAATTGCATATTGGTACATGTACATTAGTATTAACTGACTTTATATCAATAATAAGTATTCCTCATTTTATTTTATGTTTTATATGATTCCTGTAGGTTCACATTCTTTAAGAGGTTCTCATAATCCTCCTCCTCTTGTCCAACAGCGTCCTATTGTCCCTCCTAGTGTTCCTCCTCCTCCTCATCAAATAGGAGGAGGAGCTTTATATCAACGTCAAATTTCAGCTCCTCCATACAATTCTCATAATTTACCACATTCTCAATCAAACCGTTTGCATCAATCTGATAGCTTCCAGCGTCCAATGGACTGGTCACCTCATCTGCAAAGGAACCAACCTGTTCGACCATTTCCTCATAATCATCCTTCTCGCTTTGACCCTCAGCCCACTGAGTACCCTCAACAGCCTAATCAGTTTTGCCAACAACCCAATCAATATTCCGATCCACCTGCTCCTCGTCAGTCCAATCAATATTACCGCCAACAATCTGATCAGTCTTACCGCCCACCTAATCAACAATATGATCAGAATCATCATCCACTACCTCCTCAACCTCACGATATGACTCACTCCTCATTTCATCCATCATTTAGCTACTCGTCACAAGCTCCTCAATATGATCAGTATTATACTCGACCTGTTCTTCCACAAGACCAGCGTTCCCCTCCTCCTCCTCCTCTTCCTCCCTCTCAGCAAACTGGAGAGTCCTTGTCAACAACAAGATGGCTACAGCAACAAGGTACTATGGTTGGCATTTCATCACAGCAGCAGCAGCAACAGGTTATCGATCAATCAATGAATGTTCCTCCTCTTCCTTCTCCCTTTCTCAGTGGACAGATGCCTCAAGTTGATAGCTATGGAGCAGTAGGGCAACTTGGATACCCTACCAATAGTTGGCCAAACGAGCCAGCTGGTCCTACAGTTCAGGTTTATTCTTCTTCTGTTGCTGGAGCCTTTGATAAACCAGCTATCCGCTCAAGGCAAAATTCAGAGCCAGCCGGAAACTCTCCTTCAAAGAGAAATCCTCCGCCTAAAAAGAGTAATACTCTACCAGAGGACTTTTCACCTAATTCCAGGACTGCATCTAATCCACAAACTTCATCATCCATTCACCAACAACACGTTCATATTTCTCAGTCTAATTCCGATTCACCAGCTCCTTCTGCTGGGTTTTTGGTTCTTTCGCGGCACCAAAATCTTTCCCCGAATTCTCCTGGTCACAGCATTAATGTGTCGGTTAGTCGCCGTACTCCATCACCTGCTGCTCAAGCAGCATCTTTTCATAGCAACGTCAGTTCTATACCTTATGATGTTGAGCCTGCTCAAGTTCAAGTAGGTTTTAATGTCATTGCAAATGATGTTTATTGTGTGATTAATAGGAAGCGAGAATGAAGAATGAAGAAGAACACATGTAGTTGCAGCTACGTATGGGTGCTGATGGTAGTTGGGTATATATACTTATTATTATTAATTATTATGATAATAATAGTGATGATGTTTGGTATAATTAGGTGATTTTTACTTTTTGCAGCTACTCTCTACTGCTATGCTCTTATTTAGAGTCTTTAGGGAACAAATGCAATGCATTTTTATATTGTTTTATAATTATAATTACTGTGTAATTGGCTCTTTTAATTTTTTCAAAATTAATTTTAAATTTATTTTGAACCACGCCCATTTCAATACTAAAGGGCGTGGTCACACAAAATGGCTACCGGCTCTGTTCCAAGTAAAGGGAGCAGCGCAGGCTCTTCTTCAGTCATAGACACGTTATCACAGCTGAGCGAGTCAGCATCTGACGGTCTCTCATCTGTACTCGATACCTCTAACGTAATTTCAATGGAAAACTCCATTATAGCGTGTTTAACTCTCTCTCCTTTTAGTTTGAGGACGACATTC